AAAAAAAAAAAAAAAAAAACAGAACACCGAGAAATTTTAATCAGATAAATGCCTCAAATTGTCGCCAAGAAAATCAGTGAGAACTCATTAATAGACCATAATATTTGAAAACTATACATTTGTATACTATATAGAAGCTATAAATAACATTCGCTTCTCCCTAGTAGCAGCAGGGACGATCGGGATTGTTGGTGATATAGTAAAGTAACGAAAGGCAGAAGATTTCTGACCCATATATTAATAATGCGGACATTTTCACACCCCATTATATATGAGATTTTTCTTTTAGGCATAATCAAAACTTTCTTTTCATCCTATAAGACAATGATATTAAAATTCCGACTAACGTTCCCCTACTTACGGTGGACACATGTTAATATGTTCACCGTTTATGTGGCATACACACATTGGTGATATTAATATATTCAAAAAAATTACAACATCAATGTGTGCATGCCACATAAGCGGTGGGTATATTAACATATGCCCACCGTGGGTAGGGGAGTATTACTGTTAAAATCCCATATAAAATGAATAACATAATTAAAATTATGTGAGATTTTGTCGTTATATATAGCAATACATATATAAAAACGCATAATTAATAATGATGTGAAACACTTTTGTGTATGTTGTAAATGTGAAACACTTTCGTGTATGTTGTAATCGCGTATTCAAAATCTACCATATATTTACGATATGCGAATTTATTTCGCATATATGGTTATTGGATATCCAAATTGAACGCCACATTCTTACGATGATTATGCGACATGTTGTCGCATAGTTTGTGACTCGAATATCCAAATCGAACGCACAGGTATGCAAAATTTTGTCGCATATATATACCAATGCATATACAAATTGAATGCATAGTTGATTAACTATGCGATACAATTTCGCACATGTCGCAATCGCATATCGAAATTCACCGCATAGTTTACGATATGTGAATTTATTTCGCATATATAGTTAATGGATATCCAAATCTTTCGCTGTATATTTACAATTATGTGACATATTTTCGTATAGTTTAAAACTCTCATATCTAAATCGGACGCATAGTTAATAATTATATGAAACACATCCGTATATTATATAATTGCATATCAAAATCTACTGCATAATTAACATATGCGAGAAAAATTTGCATATTAAGCTATTGCATATCCAAATCGAACGTTGTATATACATTTTATGATTATGCGGCATTGTTTCGAATAGTTTACGACTCGCATATGTAAATCTATAAAGTGGTATAATTAACGATTATGTGCAATATGTTCGCATATCCAAATGAATTAAAAGCCGCATAATTTAGGACTAACTGCTATCTTTTTGCCGATCCATATTACGAATCACATATCCGTCGAAAATATTTGCATAGTATTCGTGTTGACGGTCGACCACCAATTATTACGGCTGGTATTATATGGGCGGTTAATTCGGGGGTTACTAAGTTTTTTTATATGATATGAGAACGCAATAAAATATAGAGATAATACAAACGAAACCATGCAAAAATATTGAAGTAAATATGTAGTAAATAAATAAGACATCGATATTGTCGATATGCTGAGGAAATCAACAAGGAGAATGTTTTCTCTGAAAGTTTTATTGAGAGAACATATATGAGAAGGGAAACTTTCCGAAGATGGCGATTGCATATGATTGAATGCAATGAATTTTTATTATGTTAAAAATGTGTCATTCACTCGCACCCTTAGATGACACACAACCATCATTATTTATCATTTTACCCGTGTATAAATTCGTCTTATACGGGAATAGTGGGGACTGTCAGCAGATAATTATGTCATAAACTATGCGATAGAAAGACGAAGAGAATTCAACAAGTGTGATCTCATTATGCGATAGATAGACAAAGTTAATTGAGGAAGTGCCTAAAATGCAGAGAATTGTGTGAACAATTCTGTCAGTAGTGGGTCTATCGCATTTTAGTCGCATATCATCTTCTTACACATGTTTTTACATTTTGTTTTGTTTCTTCTCAATTATCAACTTTTCGTATAAGCCGTTTGTTCTCTCGAGAACATTGTACGAGAAACATGTAATGTGAGTTTCGTCATTTTGAATCCCCAAAGTTCCTAAGAATGAAAATTCCAAAAAAAAAAATGAGACAGGGGATCGTGGGCTAAGCTGAAATCAACATCTGAAGAAGCATGATGAAAAATGATAGGGACGACGACTTGTATGAATTGGTCGAGCATACGCTGATCAAAGATGAGAAATGTATTTTGCATTTTTCATTTTAGCTACATACATTTCTCTTCTTTGATCAGCGTATGCTCTATCAGTTCATACAAGTCGTCGTCCCTATCGTTTTTCATCAGGTTTCTACGATTGATTATCTCGGCCTGGCACACGATCCTCCACCTCATTGTTTCAAGATTTCCATTCTTAGAAATTTTGGAGATTCAATTTGTTGAAAATCTCATTCACATATTTCTGGTACAATATTCCCGAGAGGATGACCTTTCTAGGGATTACACGAAAAGTTGATAATTGAGAAGAAGCTGAAAAATATAAGAACAAATGCAATAAGCTAATATGTGACTAAAATATGACATACCAGCGAATGACCGAACTGTTCACACAATTCTCTGCATTTTGCGCACTTTCTCAATTAACTTTTCCTATTTGTCGCATATTTTTAAACTATAATGAGATCATACTTGCTCAATCATCTCTGTCTTTTTGTCGCGTAGTTTATCGCATAATATGTTTCACTTTATCAATTACTTTTGTCTGTCTGTCGACTTGTTCATCACATAATTTGTTTCGCACTTTATCGGTTATTTTTGCATGTGCGTCATATAGTTTATAGTATAAGTAATTCGCACTTGCTCAATGAACTTCGTCTATCTGTCGCATAGTTTCTTGCATAAGTAATTCACACTTGCTCAATTATCTTCGCTTGTCTATCTCATAGTTTATCCCTTAAGTAATTCACAATTTATCAATTATATTTGACCGTCTATCACATAATTTATCACATAAGTAATTCACACTTTTGCTCTATTATCTTCGTTTGTTTGACGCATAGTTTATCCCATAAGTAATTCGCACTTGCGCAGTTATCTTCGTCTGTTTGTCGCATAGTTTATCGCATACGTAAATCGCACGCCTGTGTGTCGCATAAGTAAATCGCACTTGCTCAATTACCTTCGTTAGTTTATCGTGTAGTTTATCGCATAAGTAATTCGCACTTGCTCACTTATCTTTGCTTGCATGTCAAATAATATATAAAATAAATATTTGACACTTTTTTCAGCTACCTTCGTATGTTTGTCGCATATTTTATCGCATAATATGTTTCACACTTTATTAATTAACTTCGCTTGTTTATCGCCTTGTTTATCACATAATCTGTTTCGCATTTTATTAATTATCTTCGCCTGTTTGTCTCTTTGTTTACTGCATAACATGTTTTGCACTTTCTCAATTTCTTCACATGTTTGTCCCATTGTTTTTCCACGTAATTTCACACTTTGAAGTGAATAAGATTCACCCGGGCTCCTTCAACTCGAACCGGCCTCCGTACCTGCAGAACCCAACGCCGGGGGTGGCCCCGGCGTCGGGCCTCCGATGCTTAAGTCAGTGTTCGGATCCAGAGAGAGAAGATGTGTAGTAATGAAATAAGGAGAGAATCTAGTATAGAATGAATAGTGAGAATGAGAGAAAGGAATACCTTAACCCCCTTTTATAAGGGAAGTGTACCTTTTGGGCCCAAGTTGGGCTTGGCCCATATCGCGGTGCTATATGTCTTTAATCCGCACGTGGGCTTATTTTTCCATATGTATCCGTTTTATCCATTAAACCGGGTCCAGTATAATATCCTATATCACACTTTATTAATTTATTCGTTTGTCTGTCGCATATAGTATCGAATAATTATTTCTCAATTCATTAATTATATTGACCTGTCTGTCGCGTAGTTTATCGCATAAATATTTCACATTATCAATTATCTTCTCCTCTCTTCCGCATAGTTGTCAATATTTTACACTTTATCAATTATATTCGCCTAGTTGTCACATAGTTTATCGGATAATATCTTTCACACTTTATCAATCATCTTCGCATGTCTGTCGCATTGTTTATCACATAATTTGTTTCGCACATTATCAATTCATGTATGTCGCATAGTATATTGGATAATTTGTTAAGCACTCTATCACTTCTCTTTGCATGTTTATCTCATTGTTAATGTCGTAATTTGTTTAATATTTTATCAATTATCTTTATCTGTCTGTCGCTTATCATATGACATAATTATTTTTCGCACTTTATCAATTATCTTGACATGTCTGTCACGTAATTTTTCTCATAAATATTTCAAGTTTTATCAATTACCTTCTCTTATCTTTAACATAGTTGTCGCATAAATATTGTGCACTTTGTCAATTATCTTTGCTTGTCTATCGCACAGTTTATCGCATAATCAATTTCTCACTTTATCGATTATCTTTGCTTATTTGTCGCATTATTTACCGCGTCATTGATTCGCCTGTTTGTTGCATTGTTTATCGCATATATATTTCACACTTATCAATTATCTTCACTTCTATGTGGCACATTATGTAACATAATTTTTCGAACTTTATAAATTATCTTCGCATGCCTATCGTGTAGTTTTTTGCATAATTTATTTCATACTTATATTTTATCAATTATTTAGTCGCATAATTTATTTTTCACACTTTGTAAGGTGAAAATATTAATTTATTATTGTAGAGTGAAGTTAATCTATATCTATATAAAAAGAATTAACATTTTTTAAAAATAGTAAGTAGAAAATCCAACAACAGTAATTGTATGCCATTTTTGGAAATATTTTGAATTTTTTTAAACAATAAATTGACAATCATTAAATGTAGCCTAAAATTATGGATTTAGAAAACAAACAAACGTAATTATAGCTTCACAAATTTCACACATGTTTCCAAAATTATAGTATTGTGTTATTTGTCTTCTTCTTCTTCTTCTTTTTTTCTTTTTTTGTTTTGTTTTTATATATGAGTAATTTATCATTTTATAAGAAGAATAACCTTTTTATAAATTTAGAAACAAAATCATTAATTACATACTAAAAATAACATAATTAAAAAAGTTTTAACTAAATGCCTATTTGTTTGGAAATAATCTCTATTTATATGGATTCTTTCAAATATTTTTGGTATATATAAAAAAAAAAACCGAGATGAGCTTGTTGATATCATTTTCAATAAACCAAGTTAAGCAATGTTGATTAGACGATTAAGGTCAGTATGAGGATACATGACTTTTACACAGACTTCAAGGCGATTGCGCAACAAGAGATTCAGCAAGAACCGACATCACTGTTGCTTGACCGATATCTCATGTCGGTTATCACATGTCGGTCACTACATGTCGGATACGACATATCGGTTATAACTGGACGAACCGATATCTATGATGTGCCACTTCAGCATTATAAGGCGGCGACAACCCAGCACAAATCATCATTACGTTTGTCCAAGTGGCGTGCTATCAAGAGAAGTAACAAGAAGCCGCCTTTGACCTTGAGAAATCGCAAGAAGCTGCCTTTGACCTTTCAAATGTAATGATTACTTTACAGATGAATGTTGTACATAAATATAAAAGGAGAAAATAGTCCTCCAAAATGAAGAGGACACAGACAGATACAATAATAATAATCAGAAAAATTTCCATTTCCTTTTATCAAACATACAAGCTTCTGTTGATTTATATTGAGTTTACTTCAAATCAATATCGATTATATCGTTGTTAATTCTCATTTGACAACAGTTTGGCGCTAAGGGAAGGGCCGTTTATGTTTTTAAGTTAACTTTTGCTTTTAAGCCATTTTCACGCTCGAAACCATCATGTTGTAGTCTGGTCGAGACCACGTAACTCACCCTGGCCAGAGCCAATCGACTAACCATTCTCCACGGCGTGTAACACCACCTCCTCCGGTCACGAACTTTCTTCAAAATCCGGAGTTTATTCAAGGTTTGACTTCATTGATAGCTCAAGCCATGCCCAGGAACTCGAGTACGATACCGTTATCGATGCCGTTAACTACTAACCCAACAGAACATCCAACCCACACTCATCATGACCTTGAAACACATGTAGCGATCACATGCCACGTCGCAACCTCATCATACTTCTCCACGTCGAGAAGAGCGAATTCATGTAATTGCTAATCCCGTAACGAACAATCAAGTCCCAGATCAGCCCCCTGTGCAGGAGATGACTGCTGAAAGTCATTCTGCTAATCACCAGAGAACTTCTCCACGTCCTAGACCCGTTTCATCAGCGCCTCACGCTCACGAAGATCTACGGCGCCAAATTGAACGAAATCGCCTTTCAAGGCATAGTGCAGAGGAAATTGAAACTCTTCGTAAACGTTTGGCTGAACTTGAGACGCGACAGAAGTCACAGGAAGACTCTCCCCGACATGTCACGACGTCGGGAAATGTCATTACTGAGGCGGATTCCCCATTAGCTCCGGAACTTACCGCAGAGGCGCTTCCAGCTAAAGTAAAAATTCCACAAATCGGCATGTATGATGGGACATCAGATCCAGATGCACATTTGGGCCATTATACGTCCTGGATGGATTTACATGGTGCTTCAGACGCTCTGAGGTGTCGGATGTTTTCGCTTACGCTGGGGCCACGAGCTCAAAAATGGTACTATACTCTCCCGCCTCATTCGATTTGGAAATGGCAACAGTTGCGTGCGGCTTTCCGATCACACTTTATCGGTGCTCAAATTTGCCTCATTCCGAAAGAATCGATTACCAACATTGTGCAAAAGGACGACGAGACTGTTAAAGACTACGTGGCTCGGTTCAACGACCGAATTCAGAATATGGAGCCTTGTCACCCTGAAACTTTGTTAGTAACTGCCATTGCTGGATTGAAACCCAACTCGATGTTTCGTTGGACCTTGTGTCAAAATAAACCTGCTACGTTTCAAGAATTTCTTGTGCGAGCTCAACAATTTATTATTGCCGAAGAATCGATGTCGGTTCCCAGCTTCGACTTCTCGGTGAAACAAAGCAAGACTGAACCGGACACTAAAAAGAAGAACAAGAAGAACTTTGGGAAAGCACAGTTTCGGAACTCCTCCAAAGGATATGAAAATACTCCAGAGTCTCGGGCTGTTCGTGATCAATATTTGGACAACGTCAGGACAGGTTATCATGCCGTTTATTCCGCCAGAGCAGCTACCATATATGAAGAACTGAAAGAAAAAGGGATTATCCCAGACCCGAAGCCTGTGAGAACTCCTGAAGACAAGTTGGACAAAACTCGGTACTGCGCATACCATAAGTCTCCCGGACACAATACCGATGAGTGTCTCGGTCTTTTGTCGGCACTCTTGCGCTTAATCGGACAACCTCAACTTCAAAAGTTTCAAAATTTTGACAACTGCCGGAAAGGAAGGCCCTTGGATCTTTCAGACGATGAAGATGAAGATAACCGACCCGCTAACCAGAAAAGAGCTCGCGCAAGTGATAAAGAGGTCTTCACGTTTTCCACTCATGTCGGAACCTCGACTGATAACTGCAGGAAATCCCGGACACATGACGCCTTAGATTCTTCACATTGCATACCTCGAGTCAATTCCAATAATAAGAAATTAGATACTTCCCGACGAAAAGTCAAAGCCTATGCCCGAGAGGCGCAAAATGCCGAGAAACGAGTCATGAATGTTGATCTTCGAGATACTATCAATAACCGGAATTGCCCTATTACGTTCAGTATCGAAGATGCCAATTTATTTGCTCATCCTCATTCTGACGCTTTTATTATAACAGCCCCGATTGGAGGGATTCTTGTCCATCGGATTTTGGTCGACACAGGAGCTTACTCAAGTATTTTGATGCTCCGCACTTTCAAGAAATTGGGCTTGGACCCAACAGACATTAGGCCTTGCAACGACCAAATTCAAGGCTTCAATGGAAGCATTTCCTGCCCTGTCGGCGAAATATTGCTCCCTATTTGTTTTGGTGGCTTTGGACCAAAATCCAAGATCATCATGAAGACTTTCAAAGTTCTAGATGTCCAGAATGAATATAATGCTGTAATAGGGCGAACTGCACTTTACAAACTTCGTGCTGTTGTGTCAATTTTTCATTATGCCCTGAAGTTCCCCACTATTGAAGGAGAAGGCACTCATTACGGAGATCAACGAAAAGCCCGAAGTCTGATGTTGCTCTCAACCTCGCGTAACTTTCATATGATTGAAAAGCAGGATGCTGATGACTCCGTTAAGCCCAATAATTCAACTTCTGATGCTGAAAGAACTAATCAGTTCATCCCGGATACCGACATGCCTCAAGCAGATACCGACATGCCGCTTATTAGTACCGACATCCCTATGACATCGGTTTTGCCTGAAACATTAACTGAAGTCCTTGATCAAGAACAATCTTTTCATGAGGGAGACATAGAAATGCACGAAGATATGGACCCAAGGATGCAGTTCAAGGATGGAAGTCATCATGTCCGAGCGGAACCAGTTGAAGATATCGAAACCATTTACGTGGACGGATCGACTTAGCAGAAATCGCTGCGCATCGGGGCCAACCTTCAAGAACCCATTCGATCAATCTTAATCCAATTCCTTCAGTCAAACTCCGATGTGTTCGCTTGGAAGCATGAAGATATGAAAGGGATTGACCCACAAAAAGCATGCCATCGTTTAAATTTGGACAAAACTGTCAAGCCTGTTATCCAGAAACGCTGGAAATTCGGCCCTGATCGCCAGAAGGCTCTTGAAGAAGAAGTAAACAAGCTCATAAACAATAAATTTGTCAAAGAAGCCAAGTACCCAACCTGGATATCAAATCCTGTCTTAGTCAAGAAAGCCACTGGCCTTTGGCGTCTGTGCATAGACTTTTCAGATTTGAATCAAGCATGCCCGAAAGACAGCTACCCCATTCTGCACATTGATTACATGGTAGATGCTACGTCGGGACACCAACTTATGAGTTTTCTGGATGCCTATTCAGGCTATAATCAGATCCCCATGCACCCTGATGACGCTGAACATACGTCGTTCTACTCAGCTCGAGGCCTTTATTGCTATGTCATGATGACTTTCGGATTAAAGAATGCAGGGGCCACGTATCAGAGGTTGGTCAATAAGATGTTTGCTCGCCTGATGGGCCATACGATGGAAGTTTATGTGGACGATATGTTAGTGAAATCGGAACATGCATTTGATCACATCGCCCACCTTTCCGAAGTCTTCGATATACTCCGAGAATATTCTATGGTGCTTAACCCCAAGAAGTGTACTTTCGGAGTTGGGTCAGGGAAGTTTTTAAGATACATGGTGAGTCAGAGAGGGATTGAAGCCAATCCCGCCAAGATTCAAGCCATACTTGACCTAGCTCCCCCGACATCTATCAAGGGTGTCCAAGCTTTAACTGGTCGACTGGCAGCCCTCAATCGGTTCATTTCAAAGTCTACAGATCATTGCAAGCCATTCTTTGACGCTATCAAAAAGAAGAAACCGTTCGAATGGACCACAGAATGCCAGAATGCTTTTGACAACATTAAAGAAGTTCTTTTACGGTTACCGACATTGCGGAAGCCACTTCCTGATGAGCCTCTGTATTTGTACCTTGGTGTAAGTGACGTCGCTGTTAGTGCTGTTCTTATACGACAGGATGGGCTTCAACAGTTTCCGGTGTATTATGTTAGCAAGGCCTTACATGATGCTGAATTGCGATATCCGCATATGGAGAAGTTAGCCTTTGCTCTGATCATCGCTGCACGGAAGCTGCGCCCGTATTTTCTAGAGCATTCAATTATTGTGTTTACGACATACCCTCTCCGACAAGTTCTCCACCGACCTGACACGTCGGGAAGAATGATTAAGTGGGCAATAGAATTGGGACAGTTTGATATTCAGTACCGACCACGAACCGCTATCAAAGCTCAAGTGTTGTCTGATTTTATTGCTGAATTTACTCCCACTGTCAGTACATCCATTGAAGATCCGACATGGACTCTCTACGTTGACGGATCGTCCACCGCTATACGAGCTGGAGGAGGGATCGTCTTAGTTAGTCCTGATCAACAAATGTTTTGCTACTCTGTGACATTCACCTTTCCGGCCACTAACAACGAAGCCGAGTATGAGGCCCTTTTATCAGGTCTGCGCTTTGCTGAATCCATGAATGTTTCCTCTCTCCGAATATTTTCCGACTCTCAGTTACTAGTCAGCCATATCAATGGTACTTATGAAGTTAAAGAACCACGGTTGTTGCCTTACTTTGACCTCGTAAAAAAGAAGCTGACGCGGTTTAAAATGACGTTGGAGCATATATCTCGGTCATCCAACATTCAAGCAGATGCTCTTTCACGTTTGGCCTCGTCAACCGACTTGAATAATGTCGAGTTCGTACAAGTTACTCAACAGGCGACCTCATCAACAGCTACTACCGACGTCGTCATGGTTGACGCTGCCCCATCAACTTCAAATCCGACGTGGATGAAGTCGATTGTCAACTATCTTCAAACCGGGGCCTTACCTAAAGACCCGAAAGAAGCTCGCGCTCTTCGTGTTCGTGCTGCTCATTACACCATTGATCAGGGAACGTTATACAAGCGCGGATATTCTACTCCGTTGCTTAAATGCTTGTCAGAGATTGACGCTCAACGAGTCCTTCAAGAAGTACACGAAGGAGTCTGCGGCACTCACCAAGGAGCTCAAGCCTTATCCCACAAGATTCTCCGACAAGGCTATTATTGGCCGACTATCCAAAAAGACGCCGCAGACTGGGTACGACGATGCCACAAATGCCAGATATTTGCCCCTAATGTTAATCAACATCCTGAACTCCTCAAGTCAATCTATAGCCCATGGCCGCTTGCAAAATGGGGAATTGATTTGATCGATCCACTTCCAACAGCAAAAGGGGGAGTTCGGTTTGCTATTTTAGCCGCCGATTATTTCACTAAGTGGGTTGAAGCCGAACCCCTGGTAACCATCACGGAGCAGAAAATGATTGATTTTGTATGGAAGTCAATCATTTGTCGGTTTGGAATTCCGAACTCCATCATAACCGACAACGGTCGTCAATTTGAAGGCAAGCGATTTGAAAGCTTTTGTGAAGATTACGGCATCAAGCACTTCTTCTCGTCACCTTATCACCCGCAAGCAAATGGACAGATAGAAGCCGTAAATAAGATTATCAAGAATGGTCTGAAAACTCGGCTTGAAGCTGCCAAAGGATCATGGCCTGATGAGTTGCCTTATGTCCTCTGGTCTTACCGGACCACGACGAGAAATTCGACTGGAGAAACTCTGTTTTTGTTAGCTTACGGGACTGAAGCTGTGATACCGGTTGAACTCGCTTCCCCGACATATCGGGTCACTCACTTCTCTGAAGAAACCAACTCGGCAAATTTGAAAGCCAGTCACGATTTGGTCGATGAGTTACGGGCTAATGCCGAAATTCGCAATGCCGCTTATAAACGACGTAGTGAAAAGTACATCAACTCAAGACTCAAGCCACGCTCATTTGTTAAAGGGGACCTTGTACTCAAGAGAGTCACTGGGGCCAGTGTCGGTCCGTTACAGCCGAAGTGGGAAGGACCCTTTAAAGTAAATCGACTGATTTCTAATGGCACCTACCGACTTGAAGCGTTAGACGGTGTTCCTCTTCCATATCCCTGGCATACGACTCATCTGAAGAAGTATTATCAGTGAGCTTGAAGATCAAAGTTCTACTCTTGACATGTGGAAAGTTTTTGCCCTACCTCTGTACAAAAACCATGTTTTGCTATCAATAAAATTTGTGTGACGAGCCTCTATAATTTGTTCGATCACTCGGACCACAATAAATCGGTCCTCGTTGCTAAGGCTAAACGTGTTTCATACCCTGAAGATGGTATGACCTAGCCAAACGCGACAAAGCCGGATACTTCCAAGCCCTGAAGATGGTTTGGGGAGGCTTATGCTCTTTAATATCAAATCCCGACGTTGATTTGATGAGCTGACAATAAAATCCTTAAGTTCTTTGAGACATTCAAGGACTTTCACAATAAATGCTTCCAATAAAAGCAAGTTTGTTGTAACTTGTTCTGATAAAGTTATTGATGTCGGAAATACCGTAAGATTACACCGACGTCAGTAGTTCGTCTAAATTATCACATTAATGTTATGTCGGAAATTTTAGTTTAACAAACACTTATTCACCTTTTCCGACATACTTTGACTCGTTACAATGATAAGTCACATTGAAGCATTCATAAACCATCAAACATTAATATTTCATTCCAAAACCAAATATTGTCAGTACATTCCGAGAAAAACAGACAAACAAACGACAAAATAAATATAAAACATTAAGTTTCTTTGGTCCCTGATGACGACGCCTCTCCAGACTGAGGAAGTCCGGCTCCAGCCTTGTCCTTATCAACAACATCCATATGGTCAATTAATCTCTGGCTTAAGCGCTAAATTACGTCTTCTTCCTTCTCCTCCAGTGCTCGGACGATATCACTTTCCTTGATCACGATGACATCATAATCTTCATGCAGAACACGATCGTCATCAGAAGGAACTGGATCAGTTACCCATCCTTTAGCTTTGGCGTCATCCTCCGCCACCTTGCGTGAGGCAAAACTAATAATCGCGCCCAGAAGCTCCTCATCAGACAAGCCCTCAAATGTTACTGTGACAAAGGCCTCGACAATCGTCTCCACACATATATTAGCCATTTCAGGCTTCTTGGCCTTTTCCACTTCGAGGACCATGTCGACAAATGACCGGCGGATCTTTGCCTTGCGCTCCTCCGACAAGGGTATCAAGTCCAATTCCAACATTCGACTTTCCTTCTGTTTTAGAAGTCGGTCGGCGAAGTCTCTTTCATCCTGGTCGGCCGGAATATGGGCGTTCTTCATTTCAGGATTAAAACCATGCTTCTCCATTTTATGAAGGAGGAAGATACGCAATTCATCCATAGTGTATACGCCGCTTTCTACCCTATCGATCACCCAACGCAAAGCTAAGGCGGCGTTCAATTCCAACTCCCATTCCGTTGCTGCGTTGGCATTAGATGCATTGTCGGACTCGGCCACCGATTTCTTCCCGACTTCGATACCCTCCTGGAATTTGAGCTCAGCCGTGGTTGTCATCTCTTGTCGGAGTTTACCCATAGCAGCTTCATGAGCCTCGCGACATCGGATTAGCTCAGCATCCTTATCAGATCGGTCTTTCCGGACAGCTTGGAGCTCAGCCTTCAACTTCGTGAGCTGCTCATCTTTCTCCTTGGCTACCTCAGCAACTTTAGCCAGTTGAACCGATAAGAGATCGTGGGCCAATAATAGATTCTCCCTTTCAGTCTTAAGAGCGCTCACTTCAGTTTGTACTGTTTTTAGCTGAGCATCCTTTTCTGACGTCAACGCTTCATAGCGAGACTTCTCGTCCTCTAAGGAAGCAATTTCACCTTCCTTCAAGCTCAGCTCGTGCTGCTTCTCGTCTAATTCATGCACTTTTCCCTGATAACTTTCTTCGGCAGCGATAAAGCTAACCAGCGCCCGTCCTAAGCAACCTCGGGCATAGCTGAACTTTTGATCATCAGGCAGAGATGCAATTCCAGCGTGAGTTTTCGGGTCCCACGACATCAAAGGGACCTTCGCCGCCTTAACCGCTTCATCGGGGAACCACTGATTGTTTGTGATTTTTGGCTCGATGACTGTCTGAAACTTTGAGAACCAAGGGTCGAACACGCCCTCCGGTAGCATCAGCTCCGCCGCTTTCTTCTCATTTATTTTGAGGAAGGAATCCCTCAGAATGATCTCGGGTTCTTCCTCCTTATCCTTGCCGACGCCGGTGTCTTGTCTCTTCTTCATCCTTTCCGCCACGTGAGATACGCTGGATCTTTTGCGACGATGAACCACTGGCACGTCGGACTTCCCTGGCGCTTCTTGAGAGATTTCTGGCTCAACCACGGGCTCATCAACCGGCGTCATTATTTGCTGCAGTGGTGCCACCTCAAGTGGCGGGACGTCGGTAACTACTGGCTCATTCACAATCGCTGGCGTAGGCTCTACCCTTGTTGACGATGGTTCACCGAGAGCACTTTGAGATCGATTGGGGTTTTTCTTCCACGCCTTAAGGAGGTTTATGTGTCCAGCCATTTCGGTTGATCGAAGATTTTTATTTTTCCGACTTTGTTCTTTAAGTCGAAGTTCGGATTACGTCTCCGGTGTTCTTCTGCTTCTGCGGGATCTCCGAAGCCAAAATATCCCAGCAATGGATAATAGACTGTTACAGCAAATTCAAAGTTAGACCGATTTCGTTAACACGAACAATGCTACGAGATAAGCGAAGAAGATTACCTGGTAAAAATGAAGAATCAAGTATCCCGAGAGATAAACCAGCCAACTCTAAACGGGAATCCTTTACAAGACGTTGATATCGTCGTTTGTTATGAGACACTTCAAACAATTTGTCCACTCGATCGTATAGAAGACCTTCGAACTTGGGCTCTCTCTTCCCGGTTGGTTTTGCTACAAGGTCACAAAAGTCCACCTGTTAGCGACAACAAAAAACAAAATATTAATAACCGAAGTGGAGAAAACGGTAAACAACTTACAATAACCAGATTTAATAGCCATTGGGATGCTTGTCATGTCGGCAAGAAGATCATTAGCGAAGTCGGGGCACTGCCAATCTCCACCGACCCACAACCACTCCTCTTGGAAGCCATGTAAAGTGTCGGGGACCTCCATTATTAATTCGCCGACCTTGAACCTTGGTTGGGGTTTACCGACAATGGAAAAAGTGAGAAGCGGGTCCGACACTTGTCTATCTAGACTCTTTCGAAATGTGAACATGCTTCTCATGTCCTTCGCCGACGGTAGATCCCACTTCTTTTCAGCGAAAAGTACCAGCAGTCCAATAATTCGCTTCCATGAATTTGGAGCGATTTGGCATATCGGAAATTCCCAGTCCCGTAAATATTCAGTGATTATGCGCGGCAGAGGGAATCGCAAGCCTGATCTCAGACTCTCAGCGAACACACCAACGCAGTTGGGTGGAGGACATGTGATCCTCTCACCTGGGTATGGAGCAAGTAGATGTACCGACGTAGGGACTCGAATTTCGCTCCGCAACATAACGACGTCGGCATCAGTAAGAATACTAGGCTCGCCATGAGATGTAAGTTCGGGTTTCGGCCACCTCCTAATAGGTCGCCTCCAAAATCTTGAGTCATCGATGGCGTTTCTCTCTACAACTTTGTCCCCCTCGCTGTCGTTTAGTCGAATTTTCAACCGTTCGACAAACACCGGGTCCCATCGGTTATACTCCGACAATAATTCCAACTCCCCAAAATGAACCATGTTAATCATCATCACGTCCAATTCGTCATCACCAGAAGACGCCCATGATACGCTCATGATGTCGAGAAAAAGAAAGAAAAATCGGGGTAGATAAACAAAATACAATGAGAAATTAGGAAGCAGTTCGCAGATCTGGAATGCTTTGAGTGCGATTGAAAGGCGATTAATTTGCAAAGAAAACAAGAAAGACGATTGCAAAAAGAAGATGAAAGTAAAATAGATCTCAAAAGAAGAATTCCTATTTATATTAAACCCTAGATTGAAAAGCGACCGTTGGAAACCGACGGAAATAGGGGCGCGTGGATTACACGTTCTGGATTTGCGAGTCGACGCGACTCTTGAAAATCGTGCCTCTTAATAGCAGCTACGTGGCCTATTTTAAATGACCGTTACCCCTATTAATAAACGGTGCAATTAATTTTGATAAAGTGCACCGCTTCAACTCTTGAGTGTTATTTCTACCAAAGTGTAGAGATGTCGGAGGAGTGATGATGAAACCGACATGTCATGTTGATCCAAGAATTTAATTACTTCCTGATAAAGTTTCAGCATCACTGCCCGTCTTCCGTCCAGACGACCATTAATGCTGGGGGCCACCTTGTTGATATCATTTTCAATAAACCAAGTTAAGCAATGTTGATTAGACGATTAAGGTCAGTATGAGGATACATGACGTTTACACAGACTTCAAGGCGATTGCGCAACAAGAGATTCAGCAAGAACCGACATCACCGTTGCTTGACCGATATCTCATGTCGGTTATCACATGTCGGTCACTACATGTCGGATACGACATATCGGTTATAACTTGATGAACCGATATCTATGATGTGCCACTTCAGCATTATAAGGCGGCGACAACTCAGCACAAATCATCATTACGTTTGTCCAAGTGGCGTGCTATCATGAGAAGTAACAAGAAGCCGCCTTTGACCTTGAGAAATCGCAAGAAGCCGCCTTTGACCTTTCAAATGTAATGATTACTTTACAGATAAATGTTGTACATAAATATAAAAGGAGAAAATAGTCCTCCAAAATGAAGAGGACACAGACAGATACAATAATAATAATCAGAAAAATTTCCATTTCCTTTTATCAAACATACAAGCTTCTGTTGATTTATATTGAGTTTACTTCAAATCAGTATCGATTATATCGTTGTTAATTCTCATTTGACAACAGAGCTATTTGATTTCCGAAAAAATCAATAGCAATAATTTGGTAGTTATTAGTAAATATTTAGTGTGAATAATTATATGCATACGTAATTTTTATTAAAGTTAATGTGAAATCAATAATTGATTTAAATCTATTGATTAAAATTTTTGAAAATTTTCAATCAATTATTTTGTTTCTACTTAATTTATTTTTATTTTTATTGATATGGTATCATAAGATTTGAAGAAATATTGGTTAAGTCTACATAGACAATTGTCTTAGTCTCCGTTCAATATAAAGTAAATCTCATTGTATTTGTAAAATTGATAAATCTACATAAAGTGTGGAAGTTTATGTCTACAAAAATTCTTTTCACAGTAACTAAAAAATAATAATATTTTTGAAACATTTGTACTCAAATTAATTAAAAGAATAATAATAATAATTTTGAAAAATTTTATACTCAAATTACTCAAAAGAATAATAAAAATAATAATTTTAAAATCTTCTATACTCAAATTTTACGGTAGTATCGTCATAACTTTCAGCACCATATCAATATTTATTTTATAATATACTAGGTAAATTTTCTTTCAAAAACTTTATAATCTATTTATTTAGGCTTATAATATTTTCTCATGCCATATTCAGAAAACATCTTTCATACAAATGTAAACTTTAATATTTTTAGATATTTTCTTTACAAAATAGTTTAGAAAAGTTGTAGGTGACTTCACATCTTTTAATTATAATATAGAAAATTATAGATAATTTCACATATTTTAATACAATATTTTAGAAGTTTTTAATTGTTTAAATATACAAATTTTATGTTCTATTGAA